CCCTTCCCACGGGTGCGGGATGCGGCGGCGACACCCGCGCCCGCCCGAGGTGCGCCGTGGGACCCCGCGGCCCCGGCCGTGGCTCTCGGCAAGGACTGAGACACCCTTTAGAAGATTTCTACTTTAAAATCCACACAGGATTATTGTAACTAGCGTTTTTCTGCAGCTGTTTTTTCTTCCCCCCCTTCCCCCCTTCTTTGTAACTATTCCAAACAAAAAGGAAAAAAAAAAAGACCGTAATAAAAAAAAGGTTTTTTTGTAAAAAAGGTAAGTAGCTATTATATATGGCAAGGCTTTTTTGTTGTTGTTGTATTTCCTAATTAAAATAATTTCCACTTTTTTACATGATGTCGTGCCTGGGTTTTGATTTGTGTAAAGCAGCGGCGTTTGCTTCCCTTTCGTATTCTGTTAGGTGTTGGAAGCAGAAAGTGCTGAGTTAGAGACTCCGGTATCGTCTCGTTGTATTAATATCTGGGCTGCAAACTACCTTTTTTAATACCCAGAAAAATGCTTTAAGTCCTCTTGTCCAGTTCGGTCTAAAACTGAAGAGATACACAAATCCTGACGTCTTAGACTACAATGCTTTTGCCTTCAGGACACTTAATGCCTATTTGTATATGTAGAGACAGTGTTTGAAACCTATAATGCACAGGACACTGAGTTAAGTGGAGCTTTTCTAGTTTATAAACAATCTGCGAAAAGTTTGGAATCGATTTAACCTCTTTTTATGTTGGCCTTTTGCATAAGGCACAGCTTTGTGAGGCGGGATAAAAAAAAAAAAAATAAAGAGGGGGCTTTCTGGACCCTGCCGAAGTCGCCCTGAAACTGGAAGACGAATATAGCAGAGAAAGCCTTTGATTATAGATATGTGAAAAGTGTCATGCAACCGGACCGGCTCGAAAAGCCTTCAGAAAAGGAGCGGGGGTGGAAGCTTAGCGCATCCTGACGGGCTTTTTAAATGCTATTGATTGGGACAAGCTGTTCAAAACCCCAGTAACAGTTAATCTGCCTGTTAATCAAGCCACTAAGGAGCTCAATGCGAGTTTTATTAGCAACCGGAGAACACAGGCGGCAGAAAGGATCAAAAGCCTACACCCTTGATATTTGTAAAACCAGCCTTTCCCAAAAATATATTTTCAATTACAGAGTAATTCCCAGCTTATCAGGGCTCTCTCCCAGCCCCGCGCAGATGGTTCCGCAGGCGCTGCCAATGCCACCAAACCGAGGGAACCAGCCCCGCATCGCGCTGGCCTCGCCGAGGTGCGGGGTTTAAAAATAAAGCGGTTTAAGGGGGGGTCCGGCTCTCGCCTCTCCCCCACCTCGGGCTCTCCTGGCCTCCTGAATTAGCAGCAAAAGCTAAATTTGGCAAACCACGAGGAAGCGGTAGAGAAACCCCTCGGACTCCCGTTAGCCGCGTTATTAGGCTGAGGGGGTCGAGCGCTCTTTTTTTTTTCTTTGAGCTGGCGTTATTTGATTTATCGCGGCAAGTTTGCAGGGTGCCTTCCCCTCTGCCCATCCCTTTGGTGGAGCCGCTCATTTAATTCCTTCAAAAAAAAAAAAAAAGTTCAAATCGCGAGATTCGTAATATGGAGAGCCTGGAAGTTGAATTTCAATTCATTTAATGGCCAGAAATATTATTATATCGGCTAAAATCAACATTTCATCTTGTCGTTTTTAATGCAAACCGATTGCTTTATATGTCAGCGAGATATGCATATAAAAGACTATCTGGTCAGAGGTAATTATGTCACAGCTTTTTCTCGGCATGACAGCTGGATAAACACCATCTCCAATAAACATCTCTAATTAGGGAGGAGGATCTGAGATAGATGGTGTTTGATTTATTACTGAAGGAGAATGTCCATTTACCGGTATATTATGGCGAAGCATCGCTGGGAGCGTTCCCGCTAAGGCACCATAAGGAATATTTTGGAGATGCTCGAGGACAGGTAAGCGGTGTTTTAAGTTTTACGCTGATTATTTTGTTTGGTATGATTTCGGAGGAAGAACGACCTTTTCTAGGGTATCCCTCCCACTGACGCCCTGAAGGGCTGGGCAGGCTAAGCCCGAGTTTGCGGGGTAGCCGCTCGGCTACCGGACGGTCCCCAACCCGAGCAGGGCGACAGAGCCTTCGCGGCGACCGGCGAGCCCTCGGCGTTACCCGGGGAAGAGCGGCTGGGACGCGGCCCCCGACGACAGCCCGCCTTCCCCCCCCAACTCCCCCCCTCCGCAGCCCGCCCGCCTTTCCGCGCCCCTCCGCGGGGGCGTGCGGGCCCGCCGCGCCGGACCCTCCGTGCCCAGCTCCCGCCCCGTCTAGCCGTCCCGGGAGACCGGGGCTCGACCCGGCAGCACCAGGGCCCGGAGGCGGGGAGGAGGGGGGTGCGCGGAGCGGAGCCCCCCGACGGGCGCTATAACCTGCCCCCGCCACCTGAGAGAGGTAACGGCGAGGGAGCGGGACGTGGGTCACGGGGCGGGGGAACGGGAAGGGGAGGGGGTTGCGG